TTCATTTTTTCCTTTATTTTTATGCTTCTCCCGCTTCCAAATCGAATGATTCGATAAAGCGAACGATGTTATAATCGAGTTCTGTAAGATCGCAAACTATGTGCTTGGAGAATGTCCAAATCATAAAATATCGTTCTTTCAGTTTGTGTAATCAGAAAATGTGATTTCAATTTAAAAAGATATTTTATTATGACGGAAAATAAAAATTCCGTAGAATGGTTGAATAGCGTGAAAGAAAAACGAACCGTTCCAATCAGATGGTGGTTGATTAACGCTACATTTCATTTTGTACGCCGTGTGACTATTTCCATTATAGCGCTTATGAAGCACTATGTACTACAGTGTAATTTCACACATTTGTAGTTTAGTAGCATCTTTTCGTATTTTATATTAGAAGGTAGAAATCCTAGCAGTGCTCAACATATGCTAACATTCTCTTACCGTATCCGTAACAAGCTTGTAAATATTTCTCTACTTATTTGTCTTTTTTTTCGGTTACTCCCACAGATGTTTTATGGTTTCCCCATTCATAAATCATTTACCCTTACATCGTTTGTGTTGATGTTGATGTGAAAACTATAATCGTGTGTTAGTGGCGTCTTAGCGTTTATCTGGAAGGCTTGCCCTTAAAACGTCACATTTTTATCGGCTTAACTCTGTGAAAAGTAGAGTAGCTGTATAGTAAAAGTAATAGCTAGGTTTTCTTCACATATTAACATTTCACATTTTATCCTAATTTGCTTGTAATGATGTGTTGCCCAGTTATTTTCACCTATTGAATAGGATATGTTCACATCCGCTAAGATTGATGAAAAGCTGTTTTGATAACCTCATCGAATTTTTTTGCCATTATTAGAATGTCCGTTTAGATGTGAAGGCCAGATGAACGAGTTCATGTAACGATGGTCACCTCTTTGAGCGATCGAACCGAAAGGTTCACGTCGATTGTATATGATGGTGTTGATAGTAACAGTAATAAAAATAAAAATAAAAATAATAATATTAATGATGATAGTAACTATAATAATAATAGCAATAATAAAAATAATAATAATGATAATAATGCTGCATTGTCGACATGTGGCTGATTGTCGTGAGCCGCTAATTTCCACCTCCTACGACTCATTTCCCTCTTCCTCCCTCTTTTCCCTCCTCTCTTCCCCTTTCCCTACCTAATTCTGTCTATGCCTCGTCTTTCCGTCTGTCATAGTTTTTCTCATATTTGTCGCGTCGTTAAATTTCTTCTGCCTTGAATGATCGTCATTGATGTTAAGCGCCAATGTTGTTATGCAGATGAGTAGTTCTGTTCATAATGATGTACAACTGTATGCCTGTTTACGTGTGTGCGTCTATACACATACGTATATATATACATATGTATATATGCATATATATATATACGTGTGTGTGTATGTGTGTCTAGTTTCGTATTTGTACCACGATAAATAATGTTGTTCGGTTGACAGGTGTAGTATTTTTCAGGATGTTCAATGATCCATGATGCATGTGAAGAATTTGTCGATGTGCACGACCGATCGCTAACTGACACCGATCGCTGCGAATCATACTCTGGCTCGTTCTCGATTGCCGTGGGGCTTATAGTTGGTGTTGGAACTGTGTAACGAGTAGCTAGCGTGTAGGCCATGGCAAATAGTGAAAGCGACGACAAGAAAACAGGAACCAGGTATTTGGTTGTCATGTTCAGTTACTTTCATTTCTTTCTTCCCATCCATTTATGATTTCTAGTACATTGCTTCCCGTTCATTTCAGGGTTTTCAAAAAGACGAGTCCAAATGGAAAGGTAGGACTTTTTAATTACGTTACATATTTAACTCTTGTAATAGCTGCAAAAATAGTACGGCTTCGAGAATTGTATCGTCATCCGTTTCATTGCGAACGATAGTCTTAATGTGATCATGTCGTAGTATAAATGTATATTTTTATATCACCACTGCAGACAATAAGATTAGAAAATTTAAGACAGTAAGTTGGATATGGGAAATTTTATGAGTCAGCCGCATTGCTGTAAGTCTCAAATTTCCTAGTATTCCTTTGAATCAGTAAGTGTGTAGAGAATGACCTAAGTAGTTCATTCTTCAGCAAAGTTATTAGTTCACGAAGAAATCAGTGTTCTGCGACTTTCCTGTATATTAGATATCGATTTCCGCTTCAAGAAACCTAAAATCGTCTTGTTTATCTCAACTTCTTATCGCCCAGTTCTTCTTGTGTTTTGTTTTTGTTTTTTCTTTCGTTTTTCTACTTTCGTTGTAGATTACCACCTATCTGGGTAAACGTGACTTTATCGATCGAGGCGACTATGTGGATTTGATAGGTAGGTTTTGTTCTGTTGTTATCTTATACGCTATGAAACCTTTTGGTGAATGACAAACTATTTTTTTTCTTGGTTAAAGGCCGTTATTAGTATGTGGTTTATTTGAATTCTGTCTGAATTCGTTGTAAAAGAGGAAAATTAGTTAAAGTATTATGGAAAGAAAAAAACTAGAATTCCGCTTTAACTTCACTGTTGCATGCGAGAACGGTGAGCTTTAGAACGAAGGTCGCTCGATGATCATGAACTGTTTTCTACAGAAATCCTTTGGTACAGTATCGTTACACCTTTTTTTGACACTTTCTGTCTTTACTGCTCTAAAGATTCGTGAGACGATCTGGTAGATGGTAGTTTTTTAATATTAAGTAATACTTCTGTAAATAGGTTATTTGTACCTGCAACTGTACTTGCTTGACAACTGCTCGAATGTGCACTATGGTAGTTGCTATGAAGCATGAATATCTTGTGGAACACTATATATTATTGATAAGGATATGACACAAGTGGCGTTGTGCTAATGGCATTTATGTTATGTATTGATTGATTTGAGGTTGAGCACAGTATTAGTGATTTCTGTCACCATGAGCATGGTGCTAGTTCGATGAAATTTGCACTAGGCTTGTCGGGGAAAAAAATCCTACTGCAGTCCAATCGGGAACGCTCTTGCCCGGCTGTCTCAGGACACTAGGGAGAATTGCTCAACCAGTGTTGTAAGACATTCAAGATGAAATGAAAATCCTCATGCAGCAGTTGAAGCCACACGTAAAAACTTGGATGGTCTTCGTGAACAATTGATGCGAGGAAGCGAATCGAATGTGAGAAGTGCTGGGATCCACGCAGTAGATGTGAAGTCGAGTCATATAAAAAAAAGAAATAAAATTGATTGGCTTGACATGCCATATTGTTATTGTTCTTTTCTTTTCAGTAATTTATTGTAAGAGGCAAGCAAATCGCGTTGTGGAAAAATCCCGTTCAATACACATATGGTCGGCGCTCCGATGAAGCGCCGGCTCTTTCAATCCAACCATCCCTCCGAGGTTGGCGTAATGATGGCAGTGCTGTTTGGAAAAAGCATATGCTCAAGTGCTCTGTGTATTTGGACCTTATATTGGTCTTTTTCTACTGATATTGAAGTCATTTCGTCACAAAAACTAGTAATTATTTGGTATGTATGTATTTAGGAGCAAACGTTCTGGAGACTGTAAAAGAGTCCTGCATTTCTTAAATAACCTCAAGAAGAGATCTGAATGGGTGCGACCTTTTCCTTTCCGTTTATAAACACCGGCGAATGCCTGTGATGAAGACATGGGAACGCCATAGCAGAGCTATGCTCGAATTCCAGAGAGAATTGACTCGACCAGCAGTCAACGACACTTACGATGAAGAGAAATGCCTCAAGTGGTAGGCGAACCCACACGCAAATTGGAAGGCTTCCGTCGATAAGGGGTATGAGACAAAAAATCTGATGAAAGAAGTACTGAAATCTACACAATATATGGCAATGAGCTGCATAAATAAATTCATTTATTCTAAATACCACGATTACGTATTTTTTGCGGTGTCTTGAAATGTTTGTATTTTTAACCCATCGTGCAGAAAATAAAACATTTACATATGCGATCAACGTGGTCATTATACAACAAATTTGCTGCGAAAACAACGGCCGTTTTCAACTTTAAACGTTAACGTTGTTGGGGATATTGAACTTGATACCTGATACTTGATACTTGAATGGCACGTGCTCACTGCTTGTGCGGGCTCCAGCATGATCTCCATTTTTCGGGGATTTACTGGTTAGGCTATTGTGAGTATCAAGCATCAGGTCAACCTGGTCGAAGTGTGCCCCAGGTCTTCAACATCACAGGCAGTCGCAGCCCGTGTGGATCAGATTTGCCACCATGCTACTAGTTTGATACCAAGACGGTGGTGCACCCTGGTATTGGTTTACTCTTAGCTAGGCTTCCTGATGGAATCGCCGGACTCCTTCTCAGCTTGGGAGACCCTGTCAGAGGATGAATCCCGGATTGTACATCGCAGTCCGACGCCCAAGAACATCTCCCAGCCACAATGAGGCACTAAACCGTTGGGAGGTATTGGATTTTATTGGGTGGAATACAAAGCATTACAACCTGCGGGTCTCCGTTCACAAGGGTTAAGTTGGTTTAATATATTGAGATGAAGTCCTGATTTTCTGAAGTCAACGGAACCTATTTCTTATTTTTTTTATTTAGTATAAATATTTGAAATGCGAAAGCAGTTAAGTAGGCCAGATTTCGTTTAGTGGGACATGATAGGGTAGTTCACCATTGTACCGCTTATGTTCTCATATATGGTTTTTACGTCGAAAATTTAAAAATTTAAACGGTTTTTTCAATTTTTCGAAAAGTTCGTTTCTAGATGAATATAAAATTTAGAGCACTCTGAAGAAATCATGTACACGTGTGATGTAGAAAAGTCTGTTCTAAAAATGTTTGTGGTTCTCCACTGCAAATACTGTAGTAATTTTATGTTGATGAATAGAACCAGCTCCGGGCATCATATGACACCTTCGGTTTACAAAAAAAAGCTTTAACTAACTGTAATTTCGTATAAATTTCAAGAAAAAATCTGTGCTTCCACCTAGAAGATCGTGTACAAGTTATGAGTGTTACTCAAGTTATGAGTGTTATTCATGGAATATTTTGCTGGTAAAAAAGTACAACACAGGTTTTTAGACGGTATGGTGTTAGTCGATGAAGAAACTGTTCGAGAGGGTCGACGAGTAACAGCGACATTGCTGGCAGCATTTCGATACGGTCGAGAAGATCTAGACGTTTTGGGTCTGACATTTCGGAAAGATTTGATATCTCAACAGTATCAGGTAGAATTGTCTGTTTCAAAGTATTTCAGTTTGAGTTCAGTGGGCTATATACGTTGCAGGTTTACCCACCGAATACGTCACAGCCGAGTCGACCACTTACGCGATTGCAAGAGCGGTTAAAACGGAAACTCGGTGATCTAGCGTTTCCATTTTGGTTTGAGGTTCCTCCGCGAAGTGCGAGCAGTGTTACTCTTCAGGTTAGGTTTTAAGTGTTCATATTTACAAACGGTTTTTGTACTCCATGATTGAAATGAGTCGTCTGTGGCTGTGTTAATCGTGAAATAACTCAGATGTGCTGTAGTAAACTTCATTTGTTCCCGTCATCTATCAGAGTTAGAAGTGAGGAATGAATAACATCGAACTCTTGTTTCGATACCAGTTGTTTACTTCTCTTCCTTGAAAGGTAACACTGGGATCTCACCTGACTTTTGCCTTAGCATAGCCTTACTCTTACCTTGTCCTGTGGAAGAGGATTTCGAAGTGCTCAGTTTGAGAGGCCGCGAAGTGGGATGAAATCCACCAATTAATAAGTTCTCGACTTCCACGTATTCTTTCCACCCATGGTTTGAATAGGTGAAACAAGCTATAGGTTTCGTGAATTTTTCTAATATGCATGAATAATAGTTTCAGCCAGCATCCGGTGATACTGGTAAACCATGTGGAGTTGATTACGAGCTAAAGACTGTAGTTGGAGGACTGGACGCCAGTACTAATGATCGTCAGTTGAGGAAGTTAGTTTTCACATTTGCTTTCTTTACCATAGTTCCTAGTTGAAAATGTGATTAAATAGGTAAGTTTGAGCTGATAGATTTTTCAGTAGTATTGTGTAATTTGTGCTTTGTAGTAGCAGTGTGCGGTTAGCAATTCGAAAGTTAACCTACGCTCCATGGGAGGCAAGACCTCAGCCAACGGCTGATGTCAGCAAAGATTTCATGATGAGCGCCGGACTTCTGCACATGGAGGCTTCTTTAGATAAAGAGGTTCGTGTCGTTTGTGTAATTGGAAGCAGTTACAAGGATGGAAATGGGTGAAGCTTTTGGCGTTGTTCAATCTTTGAACGATGCACCACTTATTTGACTTCCTTAATCACCTCAGAGATAACTAAATGAATACTCGGCCCGTAGGATGACCTGCGAGGACCTGCCGATGTATCATGTCAGTGTATAAGTTTCACTTATCAATCTTTCCGGAGAAGCCTCGTACCAGTTCGCTAGCAACCGACAGTTTTGAGAAGTCTGGTTTGACCTAAGACCCTAGATTGAACTAATGACAACATTTGTATTGAAGAATACCTGTAACAGCTTGCTACCCTTTTATTAATTATTGAATAGCGCCTAATCTTATTAAAACATAACAATATGGAAAATGTGTAGCTTATACGTTGTAAACTTCATTAACTGAAAACCGTACTGCTCTACAGGTTTTTGCCCAGAACGGGAAAATTTTTTGTTGCTCGATTTTTCCGTCAAGACTCGTATATCATGTCCAGAAAGCAATTGACTAAATGGGATCTCGTCTAAGAGATAATCTGGGCGTCACCAATGTGGATGATTGTCAACCTTGGGTCAAAATTTTTGTGCATTATTTATTGCGGGAAAGATTTTTAAGCTTCGTTTTTAATAAACTTTAAATTGTAATAATATTTTGGATGAACGATTTATATGTTTTATCGTTAGTTCGAAGGCTGTTACATAAGCCTGTCAAGTTCTCACATCTTCAAATGCTCTAGGTCTCAAAAATTTAGTAGCGGGAGAAACCAGCACGATTGTTCAAGTGTTGAAATTTTTTTTTCAAGATGTACTATCACGGTGAATCTATCGCTGTGAATGTTCACCTGCAGAACAACAGCAACAAGTCCGTGAAAAAGTTGAAGGTACGATTAGAAAACTTTTATCTTATTCATCATCTTCACTCGATCCGTTTTTGTTTCTTTTATCTTTTTTCTATGTGTTTTATAGATTTCGTTCAATCTATTTCTACCAATTTTCTTATGATATTTGCTGTTGAACACATTAAGGTAAGCGTTATGCAAATAGCTGACATTTGCCTTTTCACTACTGCTTCGTACACATGTGAAGTGGCACGGATTGAGAGCTCGTAAGTCTCCATTGCAAGTTTATGTATGTTTCGACACGCATACACAGCAGGTTTTCTTATCACTTTGCCGTAGTGTGGTGGACTGCTGTATACTAGGTACTCTCATATTGAGTCAAGTCGGTGCGCCGATAGGAAGATAGTTTGAAACCGAAGGGAAATATGGTTTTTAGTGAAGGGTTTCCTGTCGGACCGGGTGCAACACTTTCGAAAGTGTACTCCGTTTGTCCACTGTTACGAAATAACAAAGACAAGAGGGGATTAGCTCTAGACGGACAATTAAAACACGAAGATACCAACCTTGCTTCAAGTACGATGTGAGTTAACTCTCTATGGCCATTGCTTAAATAATAGTTTAAGTCTTTATTACTGATACGATCTGGTTCTAAAATACATTCCAGTGAATACTTCCTTAATAAAATCTATGAATTTCACTTCTAATTTACAGATTGCAACCAACGACAGCGAAAGAAAGCCTGGGAATTGTGGTCGCATATCGAGTAAAAATTAGGGCGGCAATTGCAGGACCACTTGGTGGAGAATTGGTGGCTGAACTACCCTTCACTTTGACACATGCAAAGCCAGCTGAAACACCTGAGAGAAGGGTTAGTAATCGACTATGTGGACATTTACATTTCATCTTGGTCTAGTTTTTGCTAGGCTATGATTGCTTTCCAACATATGCTATTCGTAATGCAATGGTCGTTCAACGAAGTTTCTTTTATCTGCGTTAGTGCACCCAATACTGTAAAGTGGGAAGGAGTTTTATGATATTCAGTTCACGCTAAGGGATGATTTAGAAGCGTATTGGAGAAGAGAGAACTTTGAAGAAAAAGGTTAAAAGTTCACGTCAGCTGATTGTTGTCGTTTAAAACGTTCTTTTGTGGTTGTCTTTGTCGATAGTTTGGTTGTAATACCATCCGGCAATTGTTGCAAGTGTTTGCCGTTGTGCTGAAGCCATTGTATCTCTTATGCGAAAACAAAAAATTATTGAACAAATTTAAGAATGATGCTTAAATTATATAATGTAAAGTTTTATCAGGAACGACCGATAACGAACCGACAAACTCAAGAAGATTCAGGACCCGATCCATTAGAAGTAGATCTGATACAGCTTAACGACGAGATGTAAGTAGTTATGTGTAATTCTGTTGTCTTTGAACTGCTTCATCTCTTTAGACCTATCGTAGTGACGCTTCTACTGATGGGAAAGGGGTGTAGTTCTTCATTATTTTATTGATTTTTATTAGTAATAGTCATACTTGATGTTTATTTTTTCAGCAGCGATCTTCGCATGGACGACGATGATCTTATCTTCGAGGATTTTACACGTCTTCGTCTTAAAGGTGCAGACTCCACGGATGAACCATCGCCCAGTGTACAGCCGCCGAGCTTGATTTAAAAACGTTTTTGCCATTTCTCGCTCCCATGCAGGAAATTTTTCATCAACGCCTTGAGTTTTTATTTTTTGAAGGATAAAGTAATGATGGGCATGGTTGTGGTGAGCTGACTATGAAGTGATCATAAAATCTTTTTTTCTCATCACTCTATGTCCATAGTCTTGCCGTACGGGAAGAAGTGTTTCAGAAAGTTTTCTGTGTAAAAAGTTCAGCTGTGATAATATCTCCACCTTTAATCATGAAGCTGATGCTTGAAAGGTTATCGATTAACGCTTCTCTAAGTTCACTTTTATCGGGTAAGAAGTGGGTTAATTGGACTAGCGAGAGCCAATTATTGTGGTTTGGAAATAATAAGATATATAGTCCCCGTTTCTTCTTTTTTTGCTCTCGACTTCTAGTTTAACATTTAATGTGGTTTACGAGTTGCTACTAGCGTAATTTAATTCACAAGCGGTAAAGCAGTTCAGTAACATGTGGTTCAGACTGTCCTTTTTTCTTATTATCCCATAAATCATGCTGAGTCTCTCTGGCAGTCGTTATTGTTAACATATGCGATGTTTCTGTTTTTAATTGTTATCTCTTGCTGTCCATTGGTAGCACCACATCTGATTTTATTTTCGGCATATTATCTATTGATAACAGTTTTTCAAAATACACTGAAGAGAACATTCATAGAGTTGAACCAAATGAGATCTGGCTGTTTGAAAAGAGAATTTTGGCTCTTATATTCATAAGGTGTTTTGGTTTGTATAGCCACGTTGGGTCTGTATATAGTAGTCATCGAGAAATCGCACTTTCGGAATGGAGCACTTTATTTATTTTTATATTTGTCCCACATCTAGCTTACCAGGGTCTGCCGTGAAGACTGGGCATACTTATGAGCTTGTCACCAGGCTCGGAATAGATGTGGCTTCGTGGATGCGACCCCAAAACGCATTCAAGTTGCTTCCTACTCACCGGTTTGTAGGCTTTTGGTCAATGCGGTTTTAAGAACAGGACTCATGTTATACATTCGTCGTTGATATATTTACATCAATATAATTTGTTGTGCAGAAGATGTGAATCATTACCGTACAGTTGAGACAGGAAGACCACCTTCTAAATGCGTCTACGTCTTATGGCATGTGCGTGTTTTCCACGCGAGGTACATTACTATCATAAGCTAAGTTCATGAATTATACCTTGTTGGATTTCACGTGACGTTCTTTTCTTCTTGATTTAATCCAGCTATCTGTACTTCATATACTTTTGTCTTCGATTTTAGAATGATCTGCCGTTTGCCATAGTTCTATCTTGTGTTCATCGTTTGTCATTTCGTTTGTGACACATAGGCTTTTCTGAACTGTGTATTTTCTGCTTTGGACAAGCATATAATTGCTCTATTTTCTATTTGTTTATTATTTTTAATGTGCTCGAAGTGATAAGCATATCGTCATATGAGGGAATGTCATCTGTGTTCAGTTAAGTTACGTGCTTCTATTTATGCTTGTTAGCGCTGTGATGCTCGACCCTTATCAACTATTAGAGGATTGATCGAATCTCTGGTTTTTATGTATGTATATCCGAATGTGTGTCTTGTCTTTTAACACGTTCTCACAATAAATCACTATGTGTCGGATTTTATCAGGCATCTGAGACGTGATGTAGCCGTTTGTTCATTTTTTTGGCAACAGCTAGCCATCAGTACTCGGGAACCAGAAAGAGATTTCGAATGTTTTCTGATTTCCCCATACACTGTGGGTGATCAAATTCGTGGCCGTGTTTTGCTTCCAATATTAAAAAGAATAGTGAGGCGACGACATAAATAAATAGAGGTGTGGTTACAAGTAACATAGAATCTGGTGAAAAGGTCTACAGTATATCTTAGCAAATTCCTTCGCGGTCAACTGTTTAGGTAACTTTCAGAGGTATCCATTGAACTACCCTGTTTAAATGGTTTCGGAATGGGTGTCTTATGAAATAATTCATTCCATCTTGTTATTACCGTCTTACCCATTGACCAATTTTGGTTTATCTTAACGTCTAGCCGTGAGATCCACTTCTCCATCGCTCTTTTCTTATCTCTACCCATCTTCGCCTCTCTTAAATCATGAAGGCCGGGTATTTATTAGAAATTTCCACCACGAACTCCGTCTCGATATCGAGTGTGTAGGTTATGTTGCAGAAAATATCGTTAAAGAGCTCTATGAGTGATGATTGGAACGTTATGTTTTAACTTCTATAAATACTAAAAGATTCTGGTTTCGACTGCAGCTTCATTTTAACTGGGTTCAATGCCGATATATACTCCAGATAATTACCATTAACGGATGACTGATGATAGCAACGTAAGGGTAAAAAAATTGGGCGAGAAGAGCAGAGTAAGGGTCTGGGTTAGTGCAGTGGATAAAAGATGGGGGCACGAAAAGGGTAGTAGTGGGTTCAAAACACACCTAAGGTTCCGAGTTTTGCTCATATCACAGCATCCTTCTGGTTGAGGTGTTAGTTTGCACCTCTCTCTACCGCTTAATAGAAGGTTGAGATAACTGTTGAGTTAAACAGATGAATTCGAAGATTTGGAACTTCTATCTAACTTTGATTACCTTGAACGCAGTTCATGATGTTCTCATTTTTTTGTACTGTTCCTATTATAAAGTTTTCGTGAAACAGATACCGTTCCAGTTTTATCGTCTTCCCACTTTTCATCTCGCATTTTTGAGCCATTATCCCGCTTCGTTAAATTTTAGAATTATGTGAAAAGGCCAAATACCAACGACGTGGTTTTCTAGTGTTGTTGATTTACCTATACTTCCATTTCCGCCATTTGATTACCTGCTTAATTAGAGCGATAAAAGAAGAACGTTGACAAAATACTGTTCCCTTGTCGAAGTCTTGCTATACGCATAGTAATGGGAAATAGAGCTGAAGTTCCTGCTCTAGTTAGGTGAGGGTCATATATAGGGAAACGTATTTCCCAGCTGAGTGCTGAAGAAGTGGAGTTCCTCTTGAAACTGTTGAACATATTTTGATTGAGCTCTAAATGAAATGCGTCGTTTTCCTGTTCAGCAATTGCGAGGTTTTTAAACAGCAAACATTTACTTCCATAGAAAAACACAATACAATACAACACTAGCTGATGTTTCGGCAGTATCGCCTTCTTCAGAGCCTGGAAGGGTATGCTGATATACAATCTACTAGGTCAAACGCTTCAATGACACTTACAAAAAGACAAAGAACTCTCCGGTAATTACATGATCAACAACTGAAGGCGGGCTCTGAAGGCTCTGAAGAAGGCGATACTGCCGAAACGTCAGCTAGCGTTGTATTGTATTGTGTTTTTATGGAAGTAAATGTATGCTGTTTAGAAACCTCGCGATTGCTGAACAAGAAAACGACACATGATCAACAACTTCTCGAAAAACCGAAAGTTTTTAGTTGCCCTGAAAATAGTTACCGAAAATTCCTGATGAGCCAAGCAATGCGAGAAAACTGAACTGGAACAAAGGTCTCAAGAACTTAAAAGATTTTCGAATTTTCGTTGTAAGGTTATTTTGGTATTAGACTTAATAAAATCGCATATCAATATTGACCCACTCAGCCATATACGACTACAATCAGCTGTTCTAAACTTCCTCATTGGAAGTCACGAAAAAAGCGGTGAGTGTTTCGAGAAGCTGTTGATCATGTAATTGCCATAGAGCTGTTCGTCTTTTTGTAAGTGTTATTGAAGCGTTTGGCCTAGTAAATTGTATATCAGTACACCCTTCCAGGTTCTGAAGAAGGCGATACTGCCGAAACATCAGCTAGTGTTGTATTGTATTGTGTTTTTCTATGGAAGTAAATGTATGCTGTTCAAAAACCTCGCGATTGCTGAACAAGAAAACGACGCATTCGTATTCCAATGCCGAGGTTAATAGAAAGTCGATCCTGGGAACGATCCTACAAGATGTACCTTCTAAATGAAATGTTTAGAATAGCTTGTTATGGAAGGAAGTGGGACAATAAGAGGATGTGATGTGATTTCCTAAAATCCGCTCGCAATTAAAGAACATAGTCAAGATTTTAACCGTTTTATTTACTGCCTACTCTTTTTAATGGCAGGGTATATTGCGAAATATAGCTTCAGTGATGCTGACATATTTGCAAAACTCCAGACTGCAGGTGTCTACGGTGGGCATCGAACTCGTTCGATTTTCGATCTAGAAGTAGACACTTGAGGTCCGAAGTTTTGCAAATATCTCAGTATCGTTGAAGTTATAGTCATGACCCTTAAGCTTTTCCGCTTGGCAAATTGATCGGTAGAATATGGTGGAAATAAGCTTGGACATCCTGCAGTGAATAGTTGTTGAGATCGTTGAGTTATAAGCTTTAAATGACACCAAGTTCGAGGTGCGAATCCGAACCCATGAACTTTCCAATGAATTGTTAAACTTTTAATTAAACTATTATGCAAAATATGACAAGCGCAAGCGGGTACATCCACGTGCGTATACACTAGTATAATCTATGTACGTTCGAAAGGTATAGGCCAATACGACGTAGGAGAAATACGAAGTTGATCATTTAAATTAATCTTAATCTGCAGACAAATGCATTATCACTTTCGATCCATGTTTAATTCCTTATTGGTCCTCCTCTGGCGTTCCACAAAGCTTAACAAATCGGTTCAAAAATACTTGACGTGATCAAGCTCTATACGGAAAACTGCAGAATTTCAAGAAGTTTTGCGTATGAGTCATCGCTAGCGGTCCTATATAAGTTTATAGGTATGTAGAAAGCTCAGGTTCAGTCAGCGCACTATTTTTTCCAAATGAGCGTCCGTTCACCAGCACAGCATGTAGGCCTTTCCTTTACTCTTTCTCTAGTTTTCTACTTAACGGCACCATCAGCTATCGTCCTTCAACGGAATTGATCTGGAGAGTACAAATCGACATTGAACCTAGTCGAGCAGAAGCTGTAGTCGAAATCACAACGTTAACCTTTTATTTACTGCCTACTGAAATTTTTCACGGCTGCGTATTAT